CTACTACAACACGTAATATGGATTCGTGCAAACGTAAAATTGCAGAAGTACTAGAAGATTATACAACGGATGCTGAAGGAACAGGAAAGGAATTTATCAAGAAGATTAGACTTGGAAAGAAGGAAGATTCGGATGCTTCAAGTGCTGAAATCAAAGAGTTCCGAGAGTATTTTCAGATTTCGCTTGGATTGTTTGGATTATCATCGGACATTTACAATTGCTTAGGGCAGTCTACACCAGTTTCTACAACCTCATCATCGACCAAGGTTAATGATCTCACAAATAGCCTTAAACATTTATTGTCTGCTTGGGTTGATCCCGTGATGGGAGAAAGTCAAGAAACAATGGAGATAGTTAAACGTATGACTCCAAAGGTATACAAGATGGAGGAGTAGTAAGATTATTGATTATAAAATTTAATGAATATGTGATAGCATGTACAGTATGTTGGTTCGGTAAAGGGAGTGTTGTAATTCAATTTTTATTATTTTAGCTTATAATGTTAATGTCGTAGTATAGTCAATTATTAATAAAACTGGCCCTGGTGGCTCGATTTCGCATACATAATCGCGTTTACTTTTGCATGTATATTGAGCAAATTTATTTTATTATTTTTACAAGTGTATTTCCAAGATTAATCTGGATACATTAATATCATTGGGTATACATGATCGAGAATTTTCTTGACATTTTACACTTCCTGAACTTAGTTCAGGGATTTTCATCACGTGATTTATATCCCTACGATAAAGAATTGAATATGTCTGCACCTTATATAAAACGATGGCAGACACACAATATACAATTGTTTCACTAAGAGAATTAAATACCAAACTTACAGTTGAGATTAGCGAACTTAGAAAGAAGTATGCTGAGCTTGAAGCTAAGAATATCAAAGTCGAAGCTGAGAATGCAAAATTAAAACAAGACAAAGAAGAGGTTGAAGCCAGATTCTTGAATCTAGAGCAGAGAGATAGGGAAAAAACTGGCCTTATCGCTAAACTGAAACATGATGTCTCACTAATCAAGGAGCAAAGCTTGCAAAATGGGGGCAATGGATATACTGATAACGCATCTGATGATGCAGAGTATCGAACATCTGATTCTGATATATACCAAGTAAAGGATAACCGTTCTTCTATACTCCCTGAAACAAATCATAATCGTGAAGACACTCCCGCATTTGATATAACTGACGATACTTCAAATTCTAACGTATGTCAAGAGACAAAGATTCAGCAGGAGGCTGGTTCACGTCAATGCTCCACATCACCAATTTGTATAGAAAACAAATCTTCAGAGGATAAGTGATCGATGAATTTCTAGACGTAAAAGAAAAGGAAAGGGTTAATAATATAATAAGAGAGAAAAATAGAGAAAAGAAGCTTGGATCTCAAGATCCTTTATCATATGATAAAGATATTTCACAATCTAGTAAAAATAAAGTACAGAAATTCATGGCAGAAGTTTCTAAAAACTCTAGCTCGTCTATTAGTAATGCAGACAATGATGTGATACCTACAACTCTGAATAAAACAGAATCTCAACCCAGCAATAATAGCTTCACATTTTTATACGAAAAACTTTGTAATGCTATAATTCTCGCTGACCGTAAAATCCAAGAAGCAATCTTATGTTATTGTAATTTTGGTAAAGCTCTCATTCAAAGACGTAATGAATTAGCATCAGAAAAACAAGTTGATCCGGAATCTAATGCAGTTAGTAGAATTTTAAATAAGGAAGTTCGTGCTTAGCTCCCTGCAAATATTTCTGACGCACTTTTATGGAAGAGAATTGAAAAGGCTAAAAAGCTCTACAAACTTTTCTGTGCAATAGGTATGGATAAAATTTATCAAATACATTCCTTTTCCACTGATAGTATCTCAAAAATGACAAACAAAGATATTCAATATATTATAGATAACATACCATTTGATTATAGTATTAAGATAGAACCCGCCCTAAAATCCGAATTCTCTGAACCGAGTTCAGGAAGTGATCAGCAAATTTCTTGCAAAAAAGAAAATAAAGATTCAGAATTTTCAGAAACAAAGGTAACTACTACAATCACTTCCTCTATCCTATTGTCTCACACTTTTAATTCGGGAGATAAGTTAAGTAATGATCGAGATTCTGATTCATCAGAAGTCAAGATACAGGTGAGTGTGCCCGATGATGAAGATTCCAACTATGATTACGATGATGAAGATTTCTCCGATGACAACAACGAAGATGATGATAAGGACGATAGGAGCTTCTGCGGTTTTTCTGATGACGATGAAGGTTATTATTATGATTTAAATACCGGTGAAACTTATACAAAATCAGAACATCGTTATTCAATTCGTGCATATTAATAATGACGTAATACTAATTCTCCAAATAAAAATTCATTTCGCAGAAAAATAATTAATACTTTGCTAGTTAAATATTACAGTTTTGGTCAGATACGTATAAAAATAAAAAATGGCGAGCCCACGGGACCCCCCTCTTTATTTAATAAAACATTGTTGCTGAACAACAATATAACATACAAATAAAAAAAAATTTTATAATAAAAAATAAAAAAAATGATATAGGGGGTACGATTATAGATAGTCATCTGCATGACCAGGATTTATAACACTCCAGTCATCATTTTTTTTATAATTTTTTACGGCTTCTCTCAAAATAGGTTAGAGGGGGTCATTATCTGATTTTAATGTAACAGAAAATTATATTTCAGAGAAATACTCAAAACCCGTTCCAGAAAAATACAAACTTAATTACGCAATATGAAATTTACTTACAAGTTCTATTACTGTATTGGGGTCTTCGATTAGACGACCTTGGATTAGACGTTACTGGGTTAGACGGTGTTGAGTTAGGTGGTGCTGGGTTGGACGGTGCTGGGTTAGACGGTGTTGAATTAGGTGGTGCTGGGTTGGACGGTGCTGGGTTAGACGGTGTTGGATTGTTAGAATTATTAGTACTGCTCATTTTGCGTTCCTAAAAATAAAAAATCATAATGAATAAGGTTTCGCCCTAGTAGTCATCCTAGAAAACAATTGTAGGTTGAAACCCTCCATATAAAACAAATACATACATTAGAAATAAATTACAAGTGAATTAAGTAAAAAAAATATATATGAGCAAAAAATATTATAACCCACCCAACAAGGAACAAAAAATCGCTTATTTTTATACATAGCATTCGTTAGATCTGAGAACCTGCCAGAAAAAAAAAGTTAAATGATTAGTAATTTGCATTACTCTAATACTGTCAGATCACACTTAACAAAGCAACTCCGTTTCGGTTGTAAAGCCCAAATACTAAATATATTTTAGCGTCCTTTTAGGGACATAGACCCCTTAGATTCGACGCTTGCTACTACCAAGTGAAAAAGTCAACGATCTCGGCGATCTGGGAATTCCAAGTTCCTGCGACATATGAATTTTGATAAAACTACTGATTAAGAACGTCATAAGCTTTCCTCTTATGGCCCTTCTAGGTCCTATTTGAGCTTATTCTTATCGCTAGATCGTATATAACAAGGAAACGGTTCTAGTCGTGGCTAGCGTTAATAAAAAATTGACTGTGAGAAATAATTCTGCAGGAAAGTATCACAAAACCTTAATGTATCCAATTTTGTGCGACATACGCAATATGAACTTTATTTATTGCTTAACGTTAATTTATCTTCAAATTTATACGTGGTTATGTTAAAATAACGCACATATTTGTTTCTCGAATATCCGATCCGGAAATCTGATTTTTTTCCATCTTATATATGTAGCGCCAATATCAGGAACAGCCCGTTAAGACTAATATATCGATGAGCAAGTTATGATCAGAAATATTATCACGATAGTACCAAATCAACCTTAGCCACATACAGTATAATGTGTCGATTGTAACGGTAAATCAAATATCATACTAAAAATTTGTTCATTCTCGAAACTGATTCTGAACCATGCTTAATCTTAAAAGTGATCGAATCATCTAATCGAATCATCTAATCGAGTTTACTCATAAATTTATGTTCTTCGCCTTTTCTTATCGCAGGAGAGTGTCGCAAAATTTTATATCTAATTTTGTGGGACTTGTTATTGTCTTACTTATAATAATCCACATTTCGATTTTTTCTTTCATTGATCAATAAGCGTAATTGTTCATCGGTCCACATCACAAAAATTTAATTTCAACGATACCCAACTGAGATACACTCACGATATGATATTTCCATACGTTTTTATAAAAAAAAAAATCATCACACCTTCAACACACCTTCATCGTACCTTCATCGTACCTTCATTGCGCCTATTGCATCTTAATTATGGATCTAGATATAGGATATCTACGCACATCTCGGATTTGCTTATCTCGGACCGGGTGATCTTAAATGAAAATAATGATTATTAACCCGATTTAACATTACGTCCGAAACATGTATTCTTTATCGTAGAGAATAAATCATGTGATAAAAAGCGGACCCTGGGATTACACTTCTGCACTTCGTGATAATGTATAAGTAACGGTTATTCTAAATTTGTAGATCTGGCTTAAATATAGCAATAGCGTGCCTAAATACGTCTTTCAACAAGTTATTAATAATCTAATCCGAATATAGAAAATGTGCGATTGTTGATTGATTTGTCGTGTGCAATAATTGTTTGTTAGTAATTATTCAACAGTATCCTATGGCCTGGATATACAAATATTTAAATGGCTTATCAGGCAATCCGCCCCTTAAAAATAAACATACCATTAGGATAATCAAGCCTATTAATACAATACCAAATATAACAAGCCACGTAACAATAACCAACTTGAAATATTCCTTAAGTGCTACGTGTATAAGGCTCAAATAAATATGTATATAAAATCTTTTTTTTTCCATTTTCTATCTGAAATTTTTTTACCGATATTCTACCTTCTTACACCAACTGTTTCCTCTCTAAAATTTATTTTTTTATTCTGCTCTTATAAAAACACTGCTTTGAGGGCACGATCGTCAACTATCATTGTTTACGTAATGAGGAGAGGAAAACCGAACGAGCTTCCCATAGTTTAGTCCACTGAGCTACGAGATGAGAAATAGTTTGAATGTATCCACCTCGCTTTTTATTTATTATACTTATTCCTGGGATAGTCATGCGAAAAATTTCGGTGGCGAGTAGGATGTGTTTATATTAATATGACAAAATTATAGCAGAAAAAATAATTATTAATTGTCAAGCCTTATT